TTATTTTCGTTCGTCCCATATATAATATCACACTTTCTATTTTCGTTCGTCTCACGTATTATGTCACTTTTTTTTTTTCGAAAAAATATTATACATTTTAATTATATTTTAATTTTATAATTTATATTTTTTACTGTAACACTGACATAATATTTGAAACGGAGAGAATAATATTCTATTGATTGGTAGAAATATGTAGATGATTTTAACATTTTTACTCTAGCAAATATGAATACTTTTGTAAAATTTAAGAACATTTTAATATTTACATAGAAATTATTTTTATTATAATTAAAAAAAAATGATTTCTTTTGAATGTAACAGATGAAAATTAATAAAAATAATATATCAAGTTGAGATAAGAGAATAATTTATAGTGTTCATCTAACAGCCAATTAAAGACTCTTACTGATTAATACTTTACATTGATTTCCAACAAGAACTAATTAAAAATAAATAAGGAATATTATGTAAGTACTGTTCTTGCTTATTTAGGAAAATTGTATATTTAATATTTGAATATCTAACATGTCTTTTATTATTGAATGTATCTAAGTATTTAAATATAAGTATCTAAAAGATATTTTAGTTGTGTTCAATAATAGAGTGATTCATTGTCGCATGACCACATCTTTTTTGGTCAATTGAGGACAAGGAAAAAAAAAAAGGTAAAAATAAATAAATAAATAAATAGATAAATAATAAAAAAGAAATATTGATACCGAATTGAAGCGATTAAGTCACGAGGATCATGTGAAGTATCCGGTCGAGTCGAGTTGATGAGGATCGAATAATATCTTAAAAAGTTGGAATGGTTAATCTATATCGAAGGATGATTGTGTTCTTTATGTGTTTATTTGTAAAATTTTTGAAATAATTTTATTATGTTAATTTTTTTCTCCAAAAAGCCGTCGAATCAAAAATTATTGTTTATTTATTATATTAAGTTAAAATATTAATTTTTAAATTCAGAATATTCCATCAATATATATTTATATCATACCAATATATATTTATATTACATCAAATCTTTATTTTAATTTAAAATTTTACTGTTCTAAATAAAAATTCATAAGTAAACACAAATATTTTTCTAAAAATGAAAATTAAATAAATAATTATGGAAGATGGTAGAAATACTATTTAATATATTTATTTTATTATTTTTTATATAAAAAATAAATATAAAAAATAATAATATATTATTTTATTAAAAAATGATACATTTCAATACAAACCTCTGCCTATGTTATGTCTTTTGCACAAAAAATTTATATTTAATTTATTATATATTTAACAGTTAAGATATGAAAAAAAAAAAAAAAAATCTATATGAAATCCTCGTACGTCCATAATTACTAGAGCGTTCAATTCTGTGTTGTTTTTTTTTTTTTTTAATGTATTTTAAAGTACATCAAAATATTTAATAGTAAAACATAAATACTTCTGTAAGTGCTAATAATTTGTTCGAAACAAACAATTGTTCATTGTAATGGTAAATAAAATAACACTAGAAAACAAACAATAACAAAAATACATTTAAACAATTCAACTTTTAATGATAAAATTGAATTTTTGATGTTTTTCTTTCCTATTACAATAATAAATTGTTTGTTTCGAACAAATTATTTGCATCTACGAAGGTATATACTCTTTCCATTCGAGTCATATGTAACAATTTTTTCATTTTCGTTCATCCAGTACTAATTAATATGTTTTCTTTGTTTAGTAAAAATATTTTTTACTTTGTAAAAAAATACTCTTACACTTTACACGTTATTACAAACAATGCTAATAGAAAGATAAATAGGTTTGATGGCATAATTGTATATATTTTTTTCTATTCGGACGGAAAGACTATATCTTTCTAGAAGATATATAGATGTACTCCTTTTATAATATATGAATGTACCCCCGTTTATTATAGACGGAATGACAATTTCATAGATTTTTTCATATCGTAACCATTAAATTTATAATAAACTAAATAAAAAAGATTTGTGAAAGAAAAAAAAAAAAAAAAAAAAAAAAAAACCCTCTATAACAAGGTGTGTACATTGAAATTGACTTTATTAAAAACAATAAAAACACTTAATAATCAATCATTGAGAGTGTACACTTAAAATGGCTACATAGAATCGAATAGAAGATAACATAATAGATATGGATAAACTCCCTTCAATCCCTCACCTCACAATATATATATAATCTATAATTATTAAATCGATGATTGTATTGACACATATATATATTTGAAGAAAATTAGGATTGAATAAATAGTATAATACAATGTTTATTCAATAATTTTTTATTTATAATACTTCTTATATCTCATTTATTAATCTTAAATATATTTAAAATAATAAATTAATTTATTTAAATTTATAATATCTTACATAAGACAATTCAAAATCTTTTTATTTATATTTTTTATTTTTTTAATAAACAAATATTTGTAGTTACATTTAAAATTTTCATATTTTTCTATAAACATAGTTTATGTTAATCATAAATATATAAATATATATTTTTTATTTATTTGTATTACATAAAAACTAAATTTTAAAAAAAAAATGATATTTATATTATATATTTTTTATTGAAGTATAATTTTTTAAATATTTATATACATATTTTGTTTTTTTCTTATATATATATATATTAATTAATTACTATTTTAAAATTATCAACAACACTCATAGAAAATACTACTAAAATAATGAATCTGTTCATCCAACACATTTTAATGAAACAATTTCTCATAAATATTACTCACTTCGTCCCATAACAAAGTATTCATTTTTCTATTTTAGTTCTGTCCCATAACAAAGTATCTATTTCCTTTTTTAGTAACTGTATTATCTACCTAACATTATAAATACCCTTACAACTTACAATATATTACACAAATTCAATTATCTTTATATCACACATACTAACAAAGTTATTTTAGTCATTTCTACTTTATTTCTACTATATCCCAATATAATGCTAATATTTCTAAAACTACGTGCAAAAAGCAAATAGATACTTCTTTTTGGGACGGAGGGAGTATTAAAAAATACAAAATATATATACACATTAATATATAATATATCATCCATTGATAAATAGTCAACAATTCAACATAAAATATTATTATTATTTATATTACCAACACAGTTCATATACCACACAAAAAAATCAATTCCTCTAACCGAATGAACAGACAATATCATAACCAACTTCCTTTAAAATCTACTAACTTAAATACAGTGCTCAAATCAAACAATCAATTATTAGGAAAAGAAAGAAGCATATACATGATGTTAATGCAATTTTTTAACAATAAAAAGTAAAATTCGAAAATAGAAATTATCTTCGAATTTGATAAAATAAATGTCTGAGATTAAGAATCTCTAGACACCGTACCATACATAAATAAATAGAAACTAAATACTACAGATTGAAAAAGTAAATGGTGATCCCCAAAAGCAATTCACTTGAATTTGTCGATTGAAATGATTTTTTAGAATAGATCCGAATCCTTAAATATTCCCTAAAGAAAAGTTTTGAACCGTCGCCTGGTCGGTTACAACAACCGCTATCAACCGCCCATCAATTTCTCCTCCATTGACACGTGTCTTTAATCGTCTCGCCAACCGCATAACCCTACAATTGACCAACCGACCAATCCAGAGACTAACTGGTCGCTAGACCAAACGACTCATTGGCCGCCTCATCAACCACCATCTGGTCTCTTCAATCGGCGGAACAATGAATCGTCCAGATGATTCAATGGTCGCCCAATCAAGCGACTAACTGACCGCCCTTTCACTTGTCTGACCTCCGGGTCGGCCGACTCAACCTTCTTCGTCCGACCTCTTTTGATCGACCTCCGTGTCTGTCATCTCATCTTTCTTCGTTCGTCTTCCTTTTGTCCGACCTCCGTATCAGTCGTCCCATCTTTCTTCGTCCGACCTCCGTATCGGCAGTTTTATCTTTCTTCGCCCGTCTTCCTTTTGTCCGACCTTTTTAAGACACTGCTACCATTATCATTATCATTATTATTATTATTATTATTATTATTATTATTATTATTATTATTATTATTATTTGTACGTAACAATATATATATACAAAATACCAAATCAAAATTAATATTTAAACTATAAAAAAAATCAATTTTTTTTTAAAAAAAATAAAATTATAAATGTCAACAAAAATTAGCTGAAGTTATGATAGTAAATATTTTTAAAACAAAACATATATAAAAAAAAAAAAACCCAATTATTTTATACTCCTATAATTTATATTTTAATTTTCTAAAAATCATTATTTAATTTAATAATTATAAATGTATCTATAATTTAATAGGGGGAGTGGAGGGGCTTAACCATCCTAGATCTACATTCAACGCCAAATTCCCACATGTGCAAATTATAATATAATACATATTTTTTTTTTTGTTATTTCTTGGAATCATTCGGAACAATATAATAAAAATATCATATCATACCATATAATATAATGTGTTAAATTTTTTACGACCTTATCAAATATTTGGCATATCGAATGATCGATGATTTAATATAACAATTTATTTGTACCATATTAGAACATACCATTTTCTACCAAAATATCAAAATTAAAAATAATTTTATAATTTAAAAAGAAATTATAAATAATAATTTTTGTATCAATATATTGAATTATCAATGTATATATCGAATATCAAAATATCAAAATGATACATTGTATTCTTGCTATATATATCAAAATATCGAAATAATTTTCGGTACATACTGAAAATATCAAATTATATTACCGTTATCGTCCCAAAAAAATTCGCAACGGTATCGTACCATGCCAACATTTCTCCCTTAGTTTTTTTTCTACATTTTGTACTTTTTGTATTTTCACTATCAGCACATTCATTTTACGAAATAAACAAGATTCAAAAACATCCAAAACATTCACGAAATTTCGTTGTCAATAAAAGGACATGTTGCTAGCAAAAACAATCTCAACAGTTTCTCACCACCGCAGCAACAATGGCGATCACTTCCATCTCTCTTGTCAAACCTTTCACCCTTCATCATTCATCAGCTATTCCCCTTTCCTTATTACACACCAACAGAAAAACATACAAACTCACTTACAGCGGCGCGCCGGACATACCCCGGCAAGAAAAGTTGCATTTTCCGAGGATGCGCAAGATTGTAATGACGCTGAAAGAATCCCCTGCTGCAGCAATGCAAGAGAAGCCTGCAATGCCTAATTCGACAGCTCTCGTAACAGTAAAGTTTAAGAAAGCAGGGAATCTTGCGGAGCTTGTTAGTCGCGGCGCAAAGACTGCATTAGGACAGGAAGGTGTAATTCTGCAGTTAGTGAGCAACGAAGTTGATCCGAGTAAGGCAGTTGCGTGTTCTTTGCTTGGTACAAAAAAATTTTATTTTCGTCGGGGTTTTTGTGTAGTGTTTTAATTCGAAAGCTTTTGGGTGATGTGAAGAAACAATGAAGTCAAAACTTAGCAAAGAAGTAGTGCTAAAATGGTCGAATAGCGAAAAAGTCGAAGGCGATGATTGTACTTACAAGGTGAAGTTTGATATTGATCCCGATTTTGGCATCCCGGGAGGCATCCAAGTTCGGAGTCAATGCGAAGAAGAGTTCTTCCTTGTGAGTGCGTCGGTTGGAGAAGTTCGATTTTTTTGCCGATCGTGGGTGCAGCCGGAAAAGATCAGCCCGGTGGTGAGGATCTTCTTTTGTGACAAGGTAAGAACAAGAACATAATCCCAAGTAGTTTTCTTGTGACTAGAACTATTAGACGAATCGAGTAACTCGCGAGTCAGGTCGAAATTGACTCGTTAATAGTTCAACTCAACAAGATAAACAACCCGAACTTGAAAATTAATAATTTTTTCTTATAAACAAGCCAAATTCGAGCTCAGCTCACGAATAGCTCAATTGAAATTGTTAGTTGATAAAATATTTATATTATTTAGATATTAATATAATATATATAATTTTTTATATCAAAATTTATATTTATTATTAAATTTTGAATATTTTATTATAAATAATTATGAATAAATTTAAATATATTTACTTTATATATTAAAAATATGCATAAAATTCAAGTCAAGCTTGAGCTTGAATTTGAATCTAACGAACCGAGCTCGAGCCACTATTTTGGTTCAAAGCTGAGCCTCTACCATAAAAAAATTCGAATCGGACTCGAATAATCGATGCTCGAGCTCACTCAGCTTGCATAACAGCTCTACTTGTGATATCTATAATTGAGGGTGATGTTGTTAGTTTTAGTGTGATCGGGATTCTCTGTTTAAGATATATTCATATTAACATCTCACTTAAAAGTTTAAATTAATAGAAAAATATATGCTTAATTATATGTTATATAATCTTTAAAAAATATCCCTATCAAAATATGAGAATATGTTGTAGGATCATCCTAAAATTAAATGTGTTAATATGATAATAAAGACTAACTATTTTTGAAACAGGCATATCTACCCTCTCAGACTCCATCGGGACTGATAGAGCTCCGGCGGCGAGAACTTACTGATTTAAAAGGCGACGGGAAGGGATCACGGCTGCCAACCGACAGAATATATGACTACGACGTGTATAATGACCTCGGCAAGCCTGACGACGGACCTGATTTAGCAAGGCCTACTCTCGGTGGTAATCCAAACTTCCCTTATCCGAGAAGGTGTCGAACAGGGCGCCCGCCAACAGCTACTGGTGATTACAAAACATCGATTATTAGCAATAGACAATTAATGCAACTTACATATGCTGAATAACTAATAACCGTACCTTAAACTCAAATGCTGAAACAGACAAGCATGCCGAGAGCGCGCCAAGTGCTTTGCTGCCAATGTACGTCCCTAGAGACGAAGATTACGAAGAACAGAAACAGGAATTTAAGGCGAAAGGAGAGTCGAACACAGAATTACGTAACAGAATTCCTGGTTTGATAGCGCAAATATTCGGCGAGGAGAACTTCTACTTAGCAGTGGAAGTAAACAAAGAACAGGCGCGAAGTAAGACCAAAATAAAATTCGCATCAATCGACGAATCATTGAATGGAAATCCGATCTTGCAAATTCTTCGCGGGATTCAGGAGATAATAGAGGAATCCCTTAACTTGAATCCTCCCAAGTATATTTCAGGTGCATTGTAAATTAGTACTACCGTCGTAGAAATGGATGTTTTTTGACTTTTAACAATGTAAAATTTACCAGAGGAGTTCGTGTGGGGATTGCCTGACGATGAATTTGGCCGGCGAGTTCTTGCTGGCCACAACCCTGTAAACATAGAGAAGCTAAAGGTAAGGATAAACAGAGTAAGCTATAATACAAAGTTTCAAAATCAAAGTTCGAGCTCAGCTAACAGTAGGAATAAATTGTTGCTCAGATTTTTCCTCCCGTAAGCAAACTTGATTCGTCTATCTACGGGCCGCAAGAATCAGCATTGAAAGAAGAACACATAACAAGCTTTCTAGAAGGAATGTCTGTGGAACAGGTATGGGAAGAATGAGTAATTTCGAGAAACTAAATTAACTTTGTACCTTTGTGTTTTCATCACCTCTGCAATCGAATGTACGCTTTTTTAAGGCCATGGATGCAGATAAGCTGTTTGTATTGAACTACCATGACATCTATCTCCCTTTCTTGGATCGGATGAATGCAATCGAAGGGCGCAAGACGTATGCAACAAGAACTATTTTCTTCTTGACTTCATTGGGAACTTTGAAGCCCATTGCAATCGAGCTTAGCCTTCCGGTGACAGATGATAAAGTCTCGGGTAAGAGGATTCTCACTCCTCCGACTGATGGCACCACCGACTGGCTATGGGAACTCGGCAAAGGGCACGTCTACACAAATGATGCAGCTATCCAGGGCATGGTTAATCACTGGTACTAAAAAATGCAAAGAATCGAAATTCAAGTAATGCCTTCATACCTTAAGTTCCAGAATTTTCGACAGGATGAGGATACACGCTTGTATGGAGGTATTCGTCATAGCAACTCACCGAAACCTAAGCGTGATGCACCCCATCTTCAAGCTGCTGCATCCTCACACACGGTATTTCCTGAAGAGCAACGGAGCCACACGAGACGGTCTCATAAACGCAAATGGAATATTTGAAACCAATAATGCTCCAGGCCAGTATTGCATGCAGCTCGGCAGTTCGGCATATCAAGATTGGAGGTTCGACTTAGAAGGCCTTCCGGAAGATCTCATAACAAGGTCTGTTTGTTACACTTCTGCACTCTTTCCCCCATTATTTCATTTGATACGTGATATGTGTATGCAATATACACAGGGGAATGGCCGTGCCCGACTCCACGCAACCCCACGGGCTAAAACTTTCCATCGAGGATTACCCGTACGCGCAGGATGGCCTCCTTATATGGTCTGCAATTGAAAACCTGGTGACAAAATATGTGAATTACTACTATCCAGAGGCAACTCTTATCCAGAATGACACAGAGTTACAAGCCTGGTACAGTGAGGCAGTCGAAACCGGTCATGGTGATCTTGCAGAAGCAACCTGGTGGCCTAAGCTCTCGATCCAGAGCGATCTCATTTACATCCTGACAACCATCATATGGAAAGTAACAGGGCAGCATGCTGTTCACCACTTTGGACACTATCCTTACGCCGGCTACATCCCTGCCCAGCCTCCATATATGAGAAAATTTCTCCCCACAGAGCAAGATCCAGACTATGAATGCTTTCTTGCAAATCCTCGTGAGTATTTCCTGTCATCAATCCCAAGTTTTACACAGGCAGTACAATATGCTGCTGTGCTTGATCTAGGCTCAGGGCACTCTCCCGATGAAGAATACATTGGAGAGAGGAAAGACCTGTCGAGTTGGGCCGGGGAACCGGAGATTTTAGAGGCGTTCAACAAATTCTCAATGGACATCAAATCATTAGAGGAGGAGATTGTTAGAAGGAACTCTGATCCAGGACTGAGAAACCGGTGTGGAGCTGGAGCATTCCCTTTTGAACTGCTCATTCCGAGCTCAGAATCTGGGACGACGGGTAGAGGAGTACCTAACAGTGCATCAGCGTGACAAGGAGTTACACATATTAATCAGCGACAAGAATTTAAGTGTGTGGAACATTTAAGGGAACAATCAGTGAATTCAAATCATGTTAAATAGAGGAAATGAGTCTCCAGACATGGAACATGTATTGTAATCAACACTTTATAAGGAGGACTCGTCTACATGGCTAAAGTTGTTACGCATTCTTTCAAATAATATCACTTTACTTTCCAAAAAGAAACTGAACAGATCCTTTACTAAAAGCCATTATCCTATCTCATACATTTTGTCATTCATGGAAAACGAAACAAGAAATGGTACCAGGCTTAGATGTAATTGAAATCTCTCAGGCAACTAATATCCTCAATGATAATCACAGCATTTCTTGAATAGAATATAGTGGAACCAAACATGCGATAATCACAGGATGCTGAAAGCAATTAAGGTGCAGAAGGTAAGGACTTACCCTCATTCTTGTTCCCATTTGATGTTTTTCCACAACGAAGAGACTGTACATTCAGGTGATTTCTGTCACATTCAGCTGTAGAAGTCTATTTCTAACACACAACATATGAAAGAAAATTGCTCAACCAAATGTCTTGTTAAAAATCAAATACATAAACCCTTGTCAATATTAAACAAGATATGACCATGTAAAATATGAGCACATATCGGCATAGACTCACTTCATACAGCAGAATAGATTTTTATTTGCAGTTTTCATTACATACAATAGTTAGAAATACTACCCAACACATTGTTAGGAAGTCATTCTTTGTGGAACATCTTTATTGATATGATACATACGATCTAGGGAACAACTTATAGTCTGAATGTGATCAGAAGTCTGAACAACTTACAGACACAATTACAAAGAAGGCTGTTATTCCACAATCTAGGACTGATCCTAAACACTGAGTTTAGGGCGGAAATCAGCATCGCAGAACGGTTTCGTGAATTCATCCACACAAGCCATTCGAATACGTTCAGGAGTTGCTGGATTGTCAAAAGGGAACCACTCAGTGAGGCCTACTTCAGCCCGTGCAGCTATGATAGCATCCTTGATGGCAAAGAAAACGGATGAGGCAAGGAAAAATGGGGGCTCTCCCACTGCTTTGGATGAGTGGATGGCCTTATCATTAGGAGCATCCTGTAAAGAGTCATATTTAAGAAGGATTCCATCACCAAAATTCACTCTTGTAAAACAGAAATTAGAGCTACAGGAAGCGATATGGATCAAAAGTTTAGCGTGGACACACAGAATTGGTCAGATTTGACATCACACTAGTTATGAAAAGTAAAACCATGGAGAGTCATGCCAATCGTATGGAGAGAAAAGGAATTTATTTGGGTTCCAGTTTTTATTGCCTTTCTTGGGGCAATGAAATATCGTGGAATTGCATATTTTCAAAGAAAAGAAAAATAAATACTTAGAAACTTAAAGAAAACCAAGTGTAAGTGTGCTTACCTTGAGAAGGGAGATGTTAAATTTGAAGGGGACGTCATTAATGGAAGGAATTTTGTAATTACCAGGCCCGGATGTATACAAACATCCTGCTGGTATCCACCTGTGAGCAGCATCACCCCATTTCAGCTCTTCAAGAGCTACCCACCCAAGACCTTGCACAAATGCCCCTTCAATCTGTGGATGAACCATAAATGTATTTAAGAATGAGCTATCCCATGTACGAACACAGATTGGAATTTCTTAGAATTGGGAGTGAAATTGGTAAAAAAAAAACATATTATGCGGATCACAAACATCGCTGGGAGGTAGTTGTGCCTCCTTGACTTGTCATATTGCAAGGATTCACTAGATGAGACTTGAACTTATCTTATCCCCATGGAAATTAAAGACAGTACATAAGTAAAATTTTAAGGGATTTATCAACCAAAGCAATACTTTAGAAACTTCTTTTAGGATTATGTAATATAATTGCAATCCACATTTTTATGCTGTGGAATGCTAGATGCAAACATTCTTTTGTTCTAGTCTAGTCATTGACAAGATTGTTCAATATAATTTAATGTACATCAAGTTTTATATATCCCAAAGCCCTCATCTCGTCCCATTCCATATGAAACTAAAATTGATTTGGAATAAGAATCTATCATTGTGAGCTCTACCTGAAGAACAAACAAACGACCTATCCTTTCAGGTAGTTTAAGAAAAGGTTTCATCCAGCTTGTGAGCTACACTTTACCTGTCCAATTATGGTTTACTTGTGGACCAATTCATGTGTAATCTCAAGCAAGTAAAAGAAGTAGCTTTCGTAGCTTTCCCCATCCCGTAACAGTCAGATAGTTAATTTGAAGCTATATCAGCTAATATGACATGCTTGAACCATGGGGATTTGCAAAAGGATTTAATTTGAATAAATAAAGTGGAGCAAAAACCAAAACCCACCTGTCCAACATCAAGTGCTGGATTTAGAGATATTCCAAGATCCAAAATCACATCAGCCCTCCTTGTATGGAAGTCTCCAGTTAATGTGTCAATCTCAACTTCCGCATATGCAGCTCCATAAGTGAAATATCTGAATGGAGACCCTTTACCAGTTGTCCAGTCAAAGCCAATATCAGGTGTCTTATAAAACCCATTAGCAGAAAGGTTTATTCGCTCCATGTAGCAGGCCTTGACAAGCTGGCATAACACCAAATATGTCAGTGGTCAAAATAAAATAAAGGTGCAATAAATACTAAGTTGAAATTGAGACATTTTAAAAGGCACAGGACCAGTCATGTATGTCAGTATTCCATGTAGGATTTAAATTATAAAAAATAAAGGGACAATTGGAAGTAGTAGAATTTTCGGCAAACACAATCCCTGTAACATGTTAGGATATATATTAAAAGTTTATCAAGTTTTACATGCAATAACTTTACAACATTAGAGCTCCGTTTCATTTGACGAAAGTTGTTATAACTGCTACTTCAAAAAATCCATAATAAACCTTGCATTACTTCAGTGTATAGCAATTAGATCATTGTTTCTCGATAGTATCGAAACTCTTTAGACTTGCTTCCATTCAGGTCTAAAGAATTTACATGAAGATTAAGTTGCAAGCAGCCAAGCAATGCAAGAAATACTTGTAGAGAATTGCATGCTTCCAGAAATAATTATTATATGAAGTATCTGAATCACATAAAACTGATGGGATTTGAGGCAGCCCAATTGACTGGTTGGCATCACTCTAAAACTGCAGCAGTGTTCACCTAGGAGCTCCAAGGATCCTATCAAAGGAATTGGGGACATAAAGTAGTTCTGTAGTCCATGGTTCAGCTAACTTGGAAGAGTCAGTCTTAATTGAATCAACCCATATTGCTCATCTATCCATCGTTTGGTAATTTTTGAGAAATTAGTTATTGTTAAACTGATCATTTTATTTATTGCTACTAGCTAGAACAAGTACAGAGGAAAAATTGTAGTGGCAAGCCCCTTGAGACTACTTGTCCTCAGAGACTCTTCAATTAAAATTAAATAAATAAATAAATATCTCACTATGAAGCAAAAATACATAGCCATCATATAAAAATAGAAGGCATGCATTCCAGACTAGACCGATACAACTGCATTCTTCATATGCAAATGTTCAGGCAGTTCTACAGTGATTATAGCTTCCAAATCTAGGAAACAGAGCAAAAAACTCATGCAATATCCACTTCTTTATCACAAAAGATAAAATATAAAATATAAAAAGAATCCACTCTCATCTGCATAAAGAATCTTGTGAAATTTAGTTAAGTAGACTTGTAGAGGCAAGAACAGCAGAGAGAAAGGTGACTACATAGAAATGAGCAACAATAAATTACCTCAGTGAATGAGCCAAATTTATGTTGGGAAGCTAGAGGCTGCATTCGTGCTTTTATTTGTTCACATGCGTCCAAAACAGCTGCACCATATATGTCAGAACTTGCAGAAGCAGCTGTTGGGGAGGCATTTGGAACCTGAATGAGTAATTAGCCACATAAGAGGCTTGTCCATTCCAGACTTCCGACGATCACCATCAAATATATAAATTGCCACCACATGTTAAAGATATTAGTGGCCCCAAATTACATGCATATGTTGACCAATTCAACAGAAATAATATGTTGTGTAATATTTCAATATTTAAGGCCGGTAATCAAGCATTTAGAATGATCCTTGAAGTTCAGTTTTCTTAGGTAACTGCTATAGGAACTAGTGTTCATGGGAATAACATATCTTTCCCACAAGAAGACTCTGTCTCACTGAGTGTAAAAGCATTTGCATTAATTAATTGTTTTATTGGCATCAGAAAATGGTGAAACAAATGTAACCAGATTATCATTACAGCTATGATACTATAACGATGAGGTCATGGTCTCTAGAAATGCTTAAAAACACATGGAACAAATTATTGTATATACATATTATATTCAGCTCCGAGAATAATAAACATATAGAAAAGGTTGTTTTTTTTCACCTTATCTGTACTTGTCTCTGATATAAATACAGAGCTGAGTGGAATATTGAAGGAAGAAGCAGCAATCTGTGCAATTTTTGTATGTAAACCTTGCCCCATCTCTGTACCACCATGTGTGACCAACACAGTTCCATCTGTGTACACGTGAACAAGAGCACCTGCCTAGAACCAAAAACAACAAAAAATGATCATATGAACATGATAAAAGCAATAACATGCTATTTTTCACTTTTCTGAAATGGTTGACATGATAAAAAACCATCCAAAAAAAATATTCAATACATAGAAAATCAATATAAAGACTAGCATTTACTTTATTTTTATTTATTTATTTATTTTGGATGACGTAGGAACCCGCAGCTAGCATTTACTTTATTTTGAATGTGTATAAGTGTGTTCTTGAAGAGTCACATATTTATTAATGCCGCAAAAACTTAGTCTGAATGTGTACACATACATAACAATATACGATATATATATATATATATACATGATATGAATTTTTTGTGATGTGAATGTGTGTGTGTATGAATTCAAATGAAAAAAATGAGTAGGTGATGGCCGAAGTTTAAATAATGCAAAACTGATTCCTCTTTAGAAAGGGCAAAAAAAAGTATTTTCAAATCAAACAGCTTAACATAGGAAGATAAAAGCCAAGGGATTCATATAATATAACATAAAAAGCAGTCTTCAATTATCACTCTTTTTGCGAAGCTCTCTAATTGAATTCTAAAACCTAATAGAAAATTCACATTGTTTCAAGCTACAATCAAACTATCAATTAGGATTACACCAGAATGTAAACATAGAGTCTACCTGATTCATAAACTTGGCAGTGAAAGAGATGCCAAATTTTGTCGGAACAATAGCTATTCCCCGCTTCCTCCACCTATTTTGAAGATTGAATAGCTCAACTTCTTTGCGAGCATGCAAAATGTCTGTGGACATCTTCAATTCATTCCATAGACGTTCCACGGTGGACTGTTCAATTCTTTGACCATAATGCAAAACTGATCCCTCTTTTTGAAAATTGATCTCCTGAAAGAGTAAGTGCATGGTTAAGGAAAACAACATATTTTCAATTTGCAAACTCAATATTGCATTACCAATTTGACAAGCACAAAGTACGGTAACAATAGAATATTCCAAAGGAATTGGTTACAGTTACATACCCTAATTTCTTCCGGAGTTCTATTAACTTCCATGGAAATTCTTTGAATCCAATTTTCAGTAATTAACATGCCCTGTGGGCCGCCAAAGCCTCGGAAAGCAGTATTACTGGGAAAATTAGTGAAGCAGACCTTTCCTTTAATCCTAACATTCGGAATCTCGTACACATTGTCTGAATGGAACATTGCACGCTCAAGCACCGGAAGTGAAAGATCAAGCGAGTTTCCAGCATTATTGTAGATTTCAAGATCCAAAGCAAGTACTTTTCCATCATTCGTAAAACCAACCTACAAAATTTAAATTATCACGAATTATATCCTGAATATATTAAAGCACCAAAATATTATATATAAGGACAAAGCTCAAACAAAGGCAAGTATCGCCAGCCACTTTCCGTAGGAATTAATATATCAGCATAGATGGGCCAAGTGTTTTCATCATCTTGCTATACAACAGTGAAGCCTAAACACCTAATTCCACCCACTCAATATTACCGAGCATAAGGACTTCCACCATTTTAAGTGTGAATATTGTCAAATAACGTGTAGATGATGAAATGGGCAGTATCACATGTTATGATCAATGTAATTTTACTAGAACAAGTTTTTCATAGGGTAAAGTGTGTAAGCTATTCATGGCATGAGCAAGTTATCAAATACCTTATACATCCCGAGAAAGCTATGGCGTTGTCCGGTTATCATCATGTCTACATCCCTGTCTAGTGTAATCTTCACAGGACGATTCAGCAAATATGAAGGAATTGCAGCTATAGCAGCCAGGAAAGCAGACCGGGTTTCTTTCCCTCCAAATCCACCCCCAAGTCTTTTGGTCTTGCAGACCACTTTGGACATTGGGAGACCAAGAACACGAGCAACATATTTTTGGTGTTTCTCAGGACACTGGAAGTAAACATGAAGGCAATATTTAGCTCAGATGTTTATCTGAAAATCTGAGTTTACTTAACTGAACTTGCCAAAATGTAGCAAGTACAACGTTACAAAAAAAAAAAAAAAAAAAAACCGACTTTACAAATGCTATCAGCAAGAGGGTAGGAAATAAGCAGCAGTAACACGCAATCTTTCTAGCAATTTGAGTCACAAAAGCAATGCTCCGGTATTATTTACATTAATAATGCAAACAAACAAAATAGTAGTGAAAATGCAAAGTTATCCAACTCCCTGGTTTACAAGATAAAGAATGTAAAACCTTTTCCTGATTAATATATGTATTTATTATTTACTTACAATTTTGATTCCTTCCTGATTCACATCACCCAATCAAGCAGTATTGTTCTACAAAACCTCTAGGTCCAAGAATCCTATCTATTATTCCATAACCTTTTCAATTCCCCAACCAAATTGGTTTTATTTTGTAAAACTTAAAATAAGTAGAGTTAGGTGGGTGGAAAAGAAAGCAAAAAACATGAACATTGAATAATGTATTTATGCAAACCATTCTAGCCCCTATTTCATAATTGTGTATGCTTTAGTCCATACTAAGATCATCTCTAAACGATTAATATGCAAGTGAAATACCTCCAACATATCATTAGTATGCAGAAACTAAAGCAAAAATGCAGCTTGAGAATTTATGCAATCTATTCGATCATGGTATTGATACAAATTACACAAGTCAAGCAGGGCTGCAAGCAGAATGTTGCTAATTAAAGATCTTGTTTTGTCAGATGGGTCATATAGTATGTCATATGCTAATTAAATTTATTTCCCTATTTCTTTTCCCATCTTGTGACCATTCAATCTACAATTTTCTCTCTACACACATTATATCCAACACCCCATATTCTATTTAAAACAACACATCCAACGACTATTTTAACATCAAAATATCAAAACCAAAATTAAACACTCTAAGATGATTACACTAGTCATGTTAGTGGGGCGACAAGAAAGAGAGTTGGGAGAAAGAAACGAGATTCTGGGAGAATTTCCGGACTAGGTTTCATCAGAAACAATATGAGAATGGGATGTAGAACTGTAAAACATAGTTCTGGAGGAACTAGGAATTCAAGCAATGAGCATCACCCTAAACAATTATAGCGGACAATGCAAGAAACCAAAAGGCGAAAGGGTCTGAAACTTTCAGGTTACTCTCCACCCCAAAGAATAAAATAAAAAATAAAAAAGAAGGTAAACTTAAGGGTTACCAAATCTTACTTGTGTAGATGATATCATATGAACTTCATTTCCTGCATCGCTAGTCCATATTAGAGTACTATTTGGCTCCAAATAAAAGTGCTCCTGACCCCCTATCTGCACCTTTCCTTCTACAATCTTATCGCATTGGTCAGATGAGAAGCAATGTTCAACATCCCCTTTTACAAGACATCTTTCAGTATTAGGATGGAAACTATTAGATTTGAGAGCATCTTCAATGGATAAGACTGCTTGTAGTTCTTCATATTGAATGTTGACTTTTCGAGCAGCAAGCTTTGCATTTTCATGGGTATCAGCCACCACAACTCCAATAACCTGAAAGATAATATTCTTTTGAATTAGCTAAATGTGAATGACAACCAGCAAAGCAAGCAGATTGGCAACACATATTTACGCAGCTGAATTTGTTAAATTATGAGTTCTATACGTCAAGCCAATCATGGAAGGAGAATGTGACTCTCTTGAAGCTTTTACATAGTCATAATCAAATATAATAGAACGGCTTCATTTCATGCCCTTGGCATCAATTCCTTGGGTTCAGATATTGAATTTACTTCAAGTTCTGTGGGTAATAGTTTATGCATCATACATGCAGAGTGCAGATGCAGTCACATGGATGAGAGCTAATGCTAAGGATGCATGTTGCTCTATAGCTTCCAGGAGTAACATTTTTCTGCTATCAAAGGAATCTCCTTATACTTTGGAATAAAAAACTAGGAGACGAAAATAAAATTAGGGACCTGTAAAAAGTAAAAGAATAAGACAAACCAGAACATACCTGCCCCACACATGTCACAATCTCAGAAGCAAAAAGTTCCTCATCTAAAATAGTTGGCCCAATCATGTGTTCCCCTGGGATATCCTTGGAAAAGAAAATTCCTGCAACCCCAGGAGATGATCTTGCTGCTTCATCATCTATCTTAAGTATACGAGCATGGGGTTTTTTGCTCAATACCAGTGCTGCATGTAAACTGTTAGGTGGCATAGGAACATCATCTGTATACTCTGCCTCACCTGTAACCTACAATTAACAAAAAAATCAGCCAATTCAACTCTCAGAAGATGTACACGTAAATGAATGCTAGCATCAAAAGTCAAAAAAATAAATCTAAATATGACCAATAATTCTTTTAGTAACATAAACCAGCAGCAAAACCAAAAGTAAAAATTGCAGCAGTAAAGGGGCTTGCTATATAACTAACACATCAAATTGTTGTGTTCCATTCTACTGAAGTAGATGAATATCAAGTTGCACAAATAAAAATACTCAGGATTTGTTTGTAGACATCCCACCTGGAGTTTTGCTGAGAGATGCATTTCAGGAACTCCAACAGCACTACCACGCTTTACAATATCATAATCCTGAGTTCCCATAACAGAAGGGTAGTGAATTGATTTTATTGCTGAAAGATGAGATGCTGGAACTTTCTCATCAGAAGACATATGTTCATCCACTTGTTGACAGATCCACAGGAAAAACTTAAAGAAGAAACTTAGTATTAAAGATCTCCTAAACTCTACCATCCCTCCTGGGGCGTCTTCCTTTAGTAAAATGTCCTTCTGCAGTACTTTCAGAGCACCCTGCAACAGCTCTTTGTTCCAGCACTTCCCTATCAAAAATTCACTTGTTTCCTTTGCAGAAATACTATAGGGAGCGACTCCTCCATAAACAATGGATGCATCAGAAACCACCCATTTGTCATTCTTCTCTTCCAGGCGCACACGCATTCCAGAATTCACAATAGCAATATCATCATCTCTCCTGTGAGCTTGCTTGAATTCTTTCACAAATTCATATGGCTGATTCCAAGGGAGAAAAACAGAAACAAGAATCTCATCACTTGCCAGATCCACTTTGCGATAACCCAGAAAGAAATTTACTGCCGCACATGTCCGCCTATTTCCTCTACAATCAGATATTTCGAAACTTGCCCCAGCAGCCATCCACAGGGGATTGAGATCTGAGATAGGACTGCCAGTGCAAATATTTCCACCAACAGATGCTACATTTCTTATTTGAGCACCAGCAAACCATCTCAGTTGTTCAAGGATGGATCTACATGATGAAGTTTGAAAAGAAGCACGCTGATCTAAAGCTACCTTTAATGTTTTGGCCAGTTCCGAAAGTTTAACTGAAGCACCAATCTCCAAGCCTTCATCTTTTATGGTCAATTGATTAAGTTCCGGCACTTGGGCAACATGGATCAAAACTGGATAGTGGAAACTTTTAAGCCTTGTCTCAATACTTACCTCTGTGCTACCAACAAGTAATTTAGCATGAGGATATCTAGCCTTTATATCAAGTACATGCTGAAGCTTCAATGGCCGATACCACTTAAGCCCATTTGCACCCTCCAAACTTAAAGTAGTTAATGTCCTCATCAAAAGCTCTGGAGGAAAAATAAGCTCTTTATCGGTGAATGCAGCTCCATCAATATCACTGAAAGAGATCGGCTTCAGATTGTTGCTGTGGCATATACCATTTTGACTCGTATCTTTATCATTCCTAATACTCATCCCACAAGAACACGGCTTACCAGTGGAAGGGCAAGTAAAATTTGCATCTGAAAGGTCCGAGGAGGATGTGTTGGTGTACAAGGTGTCATCTGTTCTTGCAAATACACGAAATGCATCAACTATCGGTCTGTAGCCTGTGCATCGACATAAATTGCCTGAAAGGCTTTCTTCAATATCCTCTTTTGTGGGTGGTATTTCAGATGATCTCAGCAGCGCATACATGGACATAATAAAACCCGGGGTGCAAAATCCACATTGTGAGCCATGTGACTTCGCTAATGATTCCTAAGAATTTATAGTTGCATTAGAGTATGCACTTTAGGAATTTAAAGCATGAATATTTCACAAGAAAGTATCTTCAAGCCCTATACTAAACCCAAGAAGAATAGTTGGCAGAGGATTAAAGGGAAGGAGAACTCAAGAACCATTTCTACGCTAGGATTAATATTGTAAAGAGGCCATCCATTTTGGACTTTTATTACATTAATAGCAGTTAGGAGAAACCGTAAATAAAGTCGTCGGTGAAAACATGTAATCTCCACAATTGAAAGTAGAAGACTAATGTTCTCCAAGTTCCCCAACTTAAAAATAATAAAATAAAATAAAACAATAATGGGTGTGTTTTGGGTGTTCCAAGATTTTGGAATGTTTTGAATTTGAAATTCTTGTGAATGGAAAATAGATTTTGAAGATGTTTTTATTTAGATAAGTTTTGGAATGGTTGTATGGTGTCTATAAATGGTAGAATGTATAGCGCCAAAAGGGTGTCAAACATGCACATACACAGCCACATTAATTTTTTGTATATATTTCACAGTGCAAAATCCTACATTTTTCATTTTCAAACATAGTCCACAGTATCCAACAGGTGAACACAGGAGATGAAACAATGTAATTGATATGCTCGGGAAACAAACATAACTGATGAGTAAACATTGGAAGGAAGACGAATAAACCATTCCTACAGAATTGGAAGAGGAACGGGGGAGGGGGGGTGCGGTCTTGCACTCCACAAGGTGAGTTTCTTTTTCTTTTCACTCCACAAGGTGAGTTACATTCACTCTGGCATTGTGGACTTTTTAATCAACACATATTATCACAGAGTATATAAAAAACAAAACAATCTACCTGGATTGGATGCAAACCATATCTACGATTACCAATTCCCTCGACTGTAATAACATGCATTCCTTCAACAGAATACAAAGGAGCCAAGCACGCGTTAATTGCAAGATGCCTGCAAACATGCAAAAAATACGAAGGAAGCGTATTACTTACAAATCCAGTTGTTGTTTGATTCATAAAAAAAGATCTAGAGAAACATTGTCAAGGATGGCGTAGTCCATATAAAGCCTTGAATTCAAGTAACAGGGCAGATGATGAACAAAAAACTCTATATTATTACAGTGCAACTCACACGCATTTCTTTGAATTTTGATCGAAGTAAGAAATCATCACAGTGCATGCTCCACAACCTCCTTCACCACACCCAAGCTTTGTACCAGTCAGGCCTATGTCTGCATTTGAGGATAAAAAGAAGTGTTCTATAGTAAAACTCAGGAGAAAATTTTTAATGAAATGCAAGTAGATCAAATTTCCAATGATAATTGCAAACAAAAGTTTAAACACAGAGAAACACTTGTAAGAAGGTAACCATAGGAAACATAAACACTGAAATTTTCCAAAATGAAGCAACAATTAAACAACCACGTTTATAATTGAAAAGAATATGGATTGAAAATAAAATGCCTAATCAACCATGACTTCATGACACACCAAATGATACTAAAACCAATATTTTGCATTCTTGTTCCAAACTTGCAAGTAATCATTTTATATGTGTAACAAAATGCCTAGCAATTTGGCCTCTGATAAACTTCAATCTGTCCTAAATAACAAGCAAAAAAGACATCCAAATATGTACTTTCCCACTAGTGAACCCCCACCCACCACCAATACATTGCAAAATTAAAAATTTTGTCTGTCTCTACGACAATGTTGTATCATAAATAGTCTAAATGATTAGAAATAAGCGGACCAACTTTTGCAGGCGAACTTCTGGGCAGCAACTAAGCATCCCTTGAGTTAATATATCTCAGTCAAGAAGAATGTTATCAATGATTGTTTAGCCTTCTATTGTATATCTAATATAAGATATTTCCTCTCTGATCAAAAAATATATATATAAGATATTTCCTCGGCCCCATTTGCAAACTGATCACCAGCAACTAAACATTTAATGTAATTCTTGATTTTACGGAAGTGAAAAAGCTTCTGAGATACAGAACAAAAGAACACAGCACAAAATACTAAGTACAATAATACAAGCCAGATTACCTTACTGGGCGCAGGATATGAAATTTAACAATTAACAAAGCAAAAACCTACATGGTGTGGGAGATATATATATATATATATATTTGCTCAGTTTATTTATGGTTCATCTTTGTTTTAGTACAATTCATAAATAATAAAATAAGGTTGTGTTTGTTTGGGGGTTTGGATTTTTAGTTGGGATTTGAATAGTAAAAATTTTGAATTTGAATAGTTGTATGACGTGATATAAATAGGTGTTGATGTGATGTTTTGAATGTAAAATTGATTTCTAGTATAATATAAAAAATAAAAAATAGGTGTTTGATTTGATGTTTTTGGGAGGAAAAAATGGGATGAATAGTAGAAATCTAATTAAATCCCCCAAACAAACACACCCTAAATAAAAACACATTACAGCCAACCCATATCTTTCATTGAGAATTTTTTTTTTTTTTTATTTCAAACATTACATCCAATATCTATTTAACCACATCTAACACAGTTTCCTTTTAAAAATTTACCAATCCCCAAATAACCTAAAACACCACATATTACATCCAACATCTATTTACATCACATCCAACACATATTTTCCATGTAAACTTTTACCATTCCTAAAATAACCTAAAACACCGAACACCTCCAATACATATCTCAGCGCAGCCATAGTTCTTGAGCGCATACATACTTTCAATCATCTATAAACCAAAATTGACTATACATGATCCTAGATGCTTACAGTCACCACTAAGCTGCAAAAAGTAGAGAAAACGGATTGTTGACTGGGAATTCTTATCATTCCACTGCCACCATAGATTACATCAATTAAGCATGATAAATACATCATAGCCAACGTATTTCTGCTTGTTGATCCCTTGAAATGTCTAAGTGAGAAAATCATAGTCCAATCTAAAGTAAATCTGATCAAGAATGATCTTTCCCATACAGTAATCCTTACAACATCAAAACCCAAAATCACGTCCTACATAATGCCAAGATAAAAGAAATCATGAAAACAAGAACCCTATCATTTTTTAATTTCCTTTTTTTCCTCAAAGACCAGTCTTGCTGCTATATGTCATACCTCTGAGATACTCTAGAAGTGTGAGGTGGGCCAATCCGTCAGGCAAAATTCGACGGACCCCATTAACATACAGAATCGGTTCCTTTGGCTTCGATTCCTCTAGTGTCTTCATGTCACTCTCTGCCATCATAGACCCCATCGAGCGACTCTGTGTAGCTGGTGCAACCACGAAGAATGATTTACGAAAACCCGAAAGCAGAATCGTCCTTAACCCCTAAATTGTCCCTGAAAGCAGAATTGCCAAATTCGGAATTCTTAGATTAGGGGAGATGAGAAAAAAGGTGGTAATAGGAGGTCGTCGCAATCCGACAATCCTCAACGAATTAGATTAGGATCGTGGAAACCCGTCCATTATTTGGACTAGCTTCTTCTTCAAAGAAAGTGGTCAAAGATAATTATCAGGTGCAGTTTGGAGTGTGACTGGGCGTTTCTTGTCCTGTGTTTTAGAAGAGGATTCTTGGTCATCGTATATACTCCATCTGCTTACCTTTTTCGCCTACTTATCTTTTTGGTCTTTTTCTTTTTAGGAAATACTATAATTATATATTTATTTTATTTAAATTTTATAATTTATAATTGGTTTTAATTATATTATTTATTTATTTTAATTTTAATTATTCTTATTCATAAATATTTTTAAGTACTTATTAATTATATTTTAAATAAATTTTTGTATTTATAGTAAACTAGATACAAGATATTTATAATAAACTTAGATACAAGATAGGACTAAGATAATTACTATTTAATAATATATAGGTCATATATAATAATTATATATATGTATTTTTTCAAATATTTATTTATATATAATAATTTAATTATCTATTTCACATTATAGTTCAATCCAAAGTGTACCATGCCTTTTTTCAAGTAGCTTTTTTACGCCAGGTCCTGGTCCCTTTTTTCGTACAAACGAGAAGAATGTCCGGCGATAGCATAGGTGCTCTTGCTCCCGCGTAAGCCACTCCTGCGATCCAGGAGCGAAGTATGACATTTTCCTTGCTTTCCTCTTTTCGTCCTTGTTCATACTTGGGCTTCTCCGGTACGAAATGGGTTCGCAGGAATATGCTCTTTGCCTTTAGCCGGGCACTTTCCAAAAATATAAAGTGACTTTATACATACACACATACATACGTATGTATACATGCAATGGGTGATGTAGATAGGGCTGAGAGCCTTTTTGATGATGCTATTCTGATCCTGCTTTCTGATAAGATCAAAACCTCACTCCCACCCCAACCCAATTTGCATCATAATATATTGGCAGCATAATATGTATACTTTAGGATAAGATCAACAACATCAAAAGACTCCCAACCCCGTCTGCATTATATCACATGTTGTGTGTCTACATACACACGTGTGTATGTATAAAGTACAACCAATGGGTAATGATAAAATGGGCTGGGAGACTTTTATTGCTGTTTATTTGAGCTCGCATTAGGATCAAATCAACAGCCTCACGCTCACCCGAGCCCCATCTCGATCACCTATTGTGTGTATACATACACACATGTATATATATATAAAAAATATACATACGTCTATATATAAAGTTACTTTATACATACACTCGTACACACAATGGGTTGTGATGGAGATAGGGCTGTGAGACTTTTGATGTTGCGACCCCATCGTCACCTATTAGGTAAATATGTATAAAGTACACCCGATGGGTGATGATGCAAATGGGATTGAGAACCTTTTGATGTTGTTGATATGATCTCATATTGGATCAGATCAGCAACCCCACTCCCACCCCTAACTCCATCTGCATCATCACCTATTGTGTATATACATATATACGTGTATATATATAAAGTACACATATTTGTATGTATAAAGTCACTTTATATATACACTCGCACACCCAATGCGTTATGATGCAGGTGGGGCTGAGAACCTTTTGATGCTGCTGATCTAGTCCTACTTTGGGATCAGATTAACAGCCCCGCCCCACCCCACTCAAGATGTCTATATACACAGGTGTGTATGTATAAGGTACACTTAATGGGTGATTACGTAAATAAAGCTGAGAGCCTTTTGACATTGGGATCAGATCAACAGCCCACCTCCACCCCAGTCCCATCCACGTCATCACTTATTGTGCGTATATATACACACGTGTATATATATATAAAATAAACTCAATGGATGATGATGCAGATGGGGCTGAGAGTCTTTCAGTGCTACTGACTTTATCCCAAAGCATAAATACACACATGTGCATGTATGAAGTACACATGTATGTACGTATACATACACCCAATTATTGATGATTTAAATGGGGCTAGGAGCCTTTTGATGCTGCTTATCTAAGTCCGCATTTGGATTAAATCAACAGCCCCACCCTCACCTCACCTCACCTTAGCTCGATCTGCATTATAACCTATCTGGTGTATACACACATATGTATATGCAAATTACACATATGTGTATGTCTAAAGTAAGTCATTTTATATATACACTCGTATACCCAATGGGTTATGATACAGTTGGGGCTATGAGCCTTTTGATATTGTTGATTAGATCAACAGTCCAACACCACCCTAACTCTATCTGCATCGTCACCTATTGAGTGTATATATACACAAGTGTGTATATATAAAGTGATTTAATGCATACGCACGTAGGTGATTATGCATATGGGGCTGGGGTGGGGCTGCTGATCTGATCCCAAAGCATTAAAAGGCTCTAGCCCTATCTGCATCATCACCCATTGGATTTTTAGATGGGTCTAGAGTCTTTTAATATTGTTGATCTGATCTTGCTTTTGGATCAGATTAGCAGTCGCACCTCAGCCCAACCCCTTTGCATTATCTATTGGGTGTACGTATGTCTTAAAGATAAAATCTACAACATCAAAATGCTTTCAGCCCATCTACATCATCATCTATTAAATGTATATATACACACATGTGTACGTAGTTCCATCTGCATATATACATACACATGGTGTATTTTATAAAGTGATTTTGTATATACACTCAAAAGGTGATGGGGTGTAAAGCATAAAAAAGCTCTCAGCCCTATCCGCATCATCACCCATTGGCATTGCATGTATATATACATACATGCGTATATGTATACAACCAATGTGATGATGTAAATGGGGCTAGGAGCCTTTTGATAAAGCCGATTTGATCCTGCTTTGGGATCAAATCAGTAGTCCCCACCCCAACCCTAGTCCCATTTGCATCATCACCCATTTAGTGTATATATACATACGTATGTATATATAAAGTAACTTTATTTATATACATGCACATACATACATATATATACACCTAATGGATGATTATGCAGATGGTGCTAGGTGCCTTTTGATGGTGCTAATTTGATCATGCATTGGGATCATATCAGCAGCCCCATCCCGATCTCAGCCCTATCTGTATCCTTTATACATACACATGTATGTATATCTATACCCGATAGGTGATGATGAAAATGGTCTGATCTCGTTTTGGGATTAGATCAGCAGCTACATTCCCACTCCAACCTCATATGTATCACCTATTAGGTGTATACATACACACGTGTGTATGTATAAAAGTATGTACATACACACGTGTGTATGCATAAAGTACACATATGTGACTTTTATATATACACACGTGTGTATATATACAACCAATGGGTCATGATGCATCCCATCTCCACTCCCACTTTAACCTCATCTGTATCATCACCTATTAGATGTATAAATAGACACGTGTATAATGTAGATGGAGCGTTCTTTTTTTAACTGCTCATTCCAAGCTCAGAATTTGGGACAAGCAGAGGGGTACCAAACAACTTATCAACATGACAAGAATTAAGCTTATTTATTCCCGACAAGAATTCAAATGTGTGGAAGATCTAATGGAATAATCAGTGAGTTCAGATCATGTTAAAAATTTATGTTTACTTGTGGAATTTGATTTTCGATTTTATTATTCTACCTTTTTTTTTCTCAAAAACATAAAATTAAATACCTATTTTTTATTTAGTATTATACATTAAAATCAAATTTTACATTCAAATCATCACATCAATATATATTTATTTCACAACAAATAACTATTTCAATTTAAAACTTTACTATTCAAAATCAAAATCTTACAAGTAAATAAGTCTCAAGACACGGAACACGTACTGCAAACAAGATTTTATGAGGCCACATGACTAGTATTGTCATTGTAAGAATTTTTCAACTAGTATCATTTTACTTTCCAAAAAGGAAGTGAACAAATCCTATACTAAAAGCCATTATGCTATCTCATACATTTCGCCATGCATTCATGGAAAACGAAACAAGCAACGATACCAAGACTAGATGTAATTGAAATCTCTCAAGCCACCAATACCCTCAGCGATAATCACAGGCATTTCATAAACGGAAAATATAGAGGAGCCAAATATGGTTAATCACAAGATGCTGAAAGCAAGTACAGAGCAGGAGGTAAGAACTTACCCTCATTCTTGTTCCCATTTGATGTTTTTCACAGCAAAGGGCTGACTGTCAAGCTTTCTAAAGAGAGCATAGACTAGAACTGATTCGGCCAATTTCTTTCATATTTAACTTTAGAAGTCTATTTATTACAGATCACATATGAAAGACCATTGCTCAATCAAATGTTTTAGATAAATCAAAATATGACATAAACCAGTGTCAATGCGAGCTGCGGAATTGGTGTGATTACAACAACAAATTATAATCTGAATGAGATCAGAAGTCTTAACAACTTGAAGACACAAAATTACCACTGAATGCGAGAATTTCATGGTGCCATTCAGGATAATAAGATGCAGCAATAAGTCTGTCTTGAAATTACCACTGCACTGTCCTGGACTGATCCTAAACACTGAGTTTAGGGCGGAAGTCAGAATCACAGAAGGTTTTTGTGAATTCATCTACACAAGCCATCCGAATACGTTCAGGAGTTGCTGGATTGTCAAAAGGGAACCAGTCAGTGAGGCCTACTTCAGCCCGTGCGGCTATAATAGCATCCTTGATGGCAAAGAAAACGGATGAGGCAAGGAAAAATGGGGGCTCTCCCACTGCTTTGGATAAGTGAATGGCCTTATCATTAGGAGTATCCTGTAAATAGTCGTATATTTAAGAATGATTCAGTCACCAAAATTAACTCTCATAAAACAGAAATGAGAGCTAAAGGGAGTAGTATGGATCGACAGTTTGTCAGAGTATGGACACACAAGAATAGTTGTGTATGAATACAATAGTCGTATACAATTTGTTCATCTGATGGATTTGATACCATGGAATACATTTCTACATCAACAATAAATGATAAATAGACCTAACAGCCACATGTCGGATTTGACAACACACTAGTGGTGAAAAGTAAAACCATGGAGAGTCATGCCAATTGTATGGAGGGAAAAGGTATTTGTTTGGTTCCAGTTTTTAGTGCCTTTCTTGGGCCAATGAAATAGCGTGGGATTGCATATTTTAAAGAAAAGAAATATAAATACAAGCAAGTTCAAAGAACAGAAAAAAGATGAGTGTGCTTACCTTGAGAAGGGAGATGTTAAATTTGAAGAGGACGTCATTAATGGAAGGATTTTGTAATTACCAGGCCCGGATGTATACAAACATCCTGGTGATATCCATCTATGAGCATCATCACCCCATTTTAGCTCTTCAAGAGCCACCCACCCAAGACCTTGTACAAATGCCCCTTCAATCTGTGGATGAACCATCAACTGTATTTAAGAAACGAGCTATCACAAGTACAAGCAGTGATTGGAATTTCTTAGAATTGGGAGTGAACTTGGTGAAAAAATAAGAACAAACATATTGTGCGGATCACAAACATCGCTGGGAGGTAGTTGTGCCTCCTTGACATGTCATATTGCAACGATTCACTAGATGAGATTTCAACTTATCTTATACCCATGGAAATTAAAGACATTGTTGGAATGGAACGTGAGTACATAAGTAGAGTTTTAAGGCATTTATCAACCAAAGCTAGAGTTTAGAAACTTCTTTTAGGATTATGTAATATAATTGCTCTCCACATTTTCATGTTGTGGAATGCTAGATCCACACTTTAATCACATTTTAAAATTTATAATTTATAATTTTTTTAATTTTAATTAAACTATTTAGTTATCATGATCTTAATCTAATTATTTTTATCATACAATAGTTAATTTTACTAATGTACTTGTTAATTATTTACTAATTATAATTTACGTAAATTTTCAGATCTACAGTATTGCAGACAATTTAACCGGAACGGAGAAAGTATAATTTAGCATACATTAGTATCCTAAAGCCCTCACTGCTTCCCATTCCATATATATGAAAGTTTGAAACTATGCTTTGGAATAAGAAATCTATCATTGTGAGCTCTAGTCAAACACAAGAACAAATGAACGACCCATCAAGGTTAACCTACATCCTTTAATACTCAATTTGTTTGCCTGGGCCTATATTGGTTATGAATTGCTTGTTAAATAATCCTAAAACATTATGTGCCTCCTTTCAGGTAGTTTAAGAAAAAGTTTCATCCAGCTTGTGAGCTACACTTTATCTGTCCAAATATGGTTCAATTGTGGACCAATGAAACATCATCCAAACCTCCGTTGGTTCATGGTCATAATGTGATCTCAAACAAGTAAAAGAAGCAGCTTTCCTTATCCCCTATGGCTGATGTGGCATCCATAACAGTTAGTTAATTTGTAGCTATAATCAGCTTATATGAGAGGCTTGAACCATGGGGATTTGCAAAAGGATTCAATTTGAAGATAAAGTGAACACAAACAAAAACCAACCTGTCCAACATCAAGTGCTGGATTTAGAGAAATTCCAAGATCCAAAATCACATCAGCCCTCCTTGTATGGAAGTCTCCCGTTAATGTGTCAATTTCAACTTCAGCATATGCAGCTCCATAAGTAAAATAATTATATGGAGACCCTTTACCAGTTTTCCAGTCAAAGCCAATATCAGGTGTCTTATAAAACCCATTAGCAGAAAGGTTTATTCGCTCCATGTAGCATGCCTTGACAAGCTGGTGTAAAGCCAAACAGCGTAGGTCAGTGATAAAAAATAAAAGAAAGGACCAATAATCAATTTATTGCATAATAAGTTGAAATTGAGACTTTTACGAGGCACATGACCAGCCATGAATATCAGCATTCCATGTAGGATTTAAACTAGAAAAAATAACAAAAAAAAGTAAAGGGACAATTTGGAAGTAGCATAAATTTCCGCAAACAAACTCCATGTAACATGTTCAGATATATTTTTGTTGGTTTATTTCCGTTCGTAAATAAATAAATAAATTATGCGTATCCCAAGATGAGATGGTCGTTTATATTAATTAACATGGTACCATAGTCATAGGTCTCGTGTTTGAGTCCCGTCATCCCTATTTGTCGTTGTCCACGTGCAAGTTTCATATGGTGGCGCATATTCCTTTGCATGTGAAGTGGCATGTTGATTGACTCCCGTTTATAGATAAATAGATAAATATACATATCCCTAATAGTTTAAGTTTTTAGATGAGAAAGTCATTTATATCGTCTAACAATTTTAAAAGTTTATCGAGGCAATAAATTTACAACATTAGAGCTTCGTTTCATATGACAAATGTTGTTATAACTCCTACTTCACAAAATTCATAATAAACCTTGCATTACTCCTATATAAAGCAATTAGATAACTGTTTTTCAATAGTATTCAAACTCTTTAAAGGTGCTTCATTCAGTTATAGAGAACTTAGAAGAGGATTAAGTTGAAACCGCTGCAAGAAGTACTTTTGTTTGTTTGGTGGTTTGGATTTTGGTTTTAGTTTTTGAATAGTAAATTTTGAATTAGAATAATTGTTTGATGAGATAGAAATATGTATTGATGTGATTTAAATATAAAATTAATTTTTAATATGATATTGAAAATACAAAATAGATGTTTGATTTTATGTTTTGCATGAAATTTTTTTGGAAGAATAGTAGATATCATCCAAATCCTCCAAACAAACAATTCAATCTGAATCACTAATTGATGGGATTTGAGGCAGCCCACTTTCCTGGTCGACATTACTCTAATACTGTAGCCACGTGCACCTAGAAGCCTGGTAAAGGAACTGGGAACAAAAAGTAGTTTTGTAGTCCATGGTTCAGCTAAATTGGAGAAGTCAATCTTAATTGAATCTACCCAGTATATTGAAGTATGTCTCTATGTCCTATATTGAAATGGGCAGTGGGAAATGAGAGGTTATGCATGTACAAGAACCATGAGTTCTACGGGAATAAATGAGAGAACTAAGGAAATCATTAACTTAATGAGTCTGGAATTGACGGCTAGTAAATAACCATAAGTAGAAGGAAGGTGGTAAGAGATCATCTTTGCTTGTCTTTTGCTCTGTGAAATTGTTCATCTCCTCATCCTTTGGTAACTTTCGACTAATTAGTTACTGTTACACTGATCATTTTATTTATTGATACTTGCTAGAATAAGTACATAAGCCAAATTATAGTGGCAAGCCCCTTCGAACTTGATAACTAAAAATTATAATTTTTGTGTATATGCATTCATAGAGAATTTTTATTCGAAGAAAATAATGGGGTGGATTATGGAAAATGACTAGATATGGTAAACATTGGTGGCTGTAGACCCTGAGTAGTTATTATAGTTATTTATACTCTTTAACTGGTGAGTTTTCAGGTCGAACACAGGGATTTTATGTCATGAATTTCAAATCGAGTGCAGATTTTATAAAAGCGGAGGAAAATGCAGTGGAGGGATCCGACTTGCAGCGGATCAAAATTCTAATTCTATGAAAAGCGGTAAGTAAAAGCGGTAAAGTATTGCGGAAGCGAGCAGCGCAGAGGTGAGCGGTGGAGTGCCAGTGAGGGGCGAGCAAATGGGACACGAGCGAGTGGCACAACGAATATACGTATGTATAGATTAAGTGGTAAAGAGTGAATGAGAGGTGTTGTGTCTGAACTGTGTGTTACTTAATGGCTAGATTTTCCTGAATGAAAAGAGCAAGCGGTGTTGGTGTTTAAACGGACATATATGTATAATACGGAAGCGGGGGAAGGAGATGATGTAAATATATAAACCAAATTATAGAGAATCCTTATCACTGGTGTCTGACCTTAAGGGATTTACAACAAGACTTCAATGACACCCAGAATTGGAACATTATAAGAAAGAAACCCTACTGTCACTAGGAATTTCTGCGACCTAATAGACCACCGTCTATGCCCCATTAATTATCCCAAATTCTGCGTCATTAGTGGTTTTACCCTTCTGTTACCTCTTTTTAATCAAAACTGAATTTAAACCAGCAGTTAAGCAGGTCGACAAGGCTTTCACGTACTTAACTACATTGAACTACCTTGAAAATGTTTGTGACAAAAGACAAGGCTTGGATAATCAATTTTTATGTGCTTTAAACCAGTGAAGTGAAATTCTTTAAAATTAGGGTTTATTTAAGTGTGAAAAAGTGTGAAAGAAATGGAGATGAAGAACAGAATGATATTTCATTACTTACTAGTAAAGCTGAAATTTCTAATTCTACAAAATCGTAAATGAAAGCGATAAACTACACTAAGTAAGCAGCAAAACCATTCATGTGGAGAACTCCTTACAGGGTTGGAGTTCTCAGAGAGCAGAAAGACAACTAGAATGCACAGAAAAGAAATCGCTAGTATAAGTATATTTACATACAGGTATCTGGCCCTATTTATAGCAGGTAGAAATAACGGTTGCAAGCAGTTACAAGGTGGTTTCAACCGCTAGGCAGTTAGGCAGTTGATGACGGTTATTCTATAGAACCAGTTGCTGGCCATAACTCTTAGTGTGCTCGCTCCGCTTGTATGGGTTTGTAAAGGCGCAGATCTTCATCGTTTTCCGAATGACTGGAGGGCATTAGCGCAACTAGGCTGGCTTGTTTGTGCTGGCTGGTAGTGGAATGGTTGTACCGCTGTAGTTGGGATACTTAGTCAATATTTGAGTTGGGTTGCCGTCGCTCTGCAGCGGTGGGTGTCTGGGGCGTCGCTTGCGAGCGGGAGGGGCTGCCGCTTGTGAGTGGTGGAAGCTACCGCTTGCCTCTCTTGCCTTAGATTTCTGGGTGATGGACTCACGCTTGCGAGTGGAGATAACTGTCGCTTGTGGCGTTTGCCTTAGCTTTTCTGGCTCCAAAACACCGCTTAAAAGGGCAAAAATTGTTAATAATCTCAACAAACCAACTCAGGATTATGCCAAGCGATATAGATCAATAAACTATGCCATTAACCAGTTATTGTGATAGTTTTTATACAGAAATTCAAGTAATACGTAGTTTTGTCAAGAGAAGAATATGCTTATATTTGGAGTCATCAAACCTCCTCACATTAAACCTTTGTTCGTCCTGGAACAAATTAAATTATGGGACCAAAGAGTCATTCTGTTCACTGCAGTCAAGTATTGCTTACGATAAGTGCCATGATTTGGAGTAAGGTGAATCTCGGATAGAGACAATTGATCCTTAAGCATTCAAACTTGTCATTTGATTTAACATGAATGGAGTTATCCTGGTATTGTCTACTTTGTTTGTTTAGCAGGAATTATTTTTGATTAAGGAAGCCTTCAGCCGAAGGGTGCGGAGAATCATTTTTTTTTTTTTTTTTTTGAATCAAGAGTTTCAAACAAACATTGTGTCTGCTCATAATCTTATTTGATTTTCGCGCACCTAGGCCTTTTCAGCTCCTTTGTAATGATAGGTCCTCCTTGCTTTGCTGACATCATGTTTTAAACCATATTTAAAGATTTTTCTTTTCAAGTCATCTCTTGTGAACGAAGTCGATAGGCAGAAGTTTGCTTGCTCTACTGAGTATGGGAAATTTGAAACGAAGGGGGCACTAATCCTCACGTCCTATCCATTGTTACTTAGTTTAACACCGATGTTCGCATTATTGAAAAGGTTCGAAGGACAATTACTCAGTCTGGTGTTTGTAAGTTATCTAATTTTACTTTAAAACATATCATAGAGCTAACGCAGTGGGGTATCACAAGTATCTCAAATAAAAACACATACTTCAGATTATGGTAAGCATACAATAAAGATGAATTTCACTTGTTACCAAAAAAATTGTTGTATCGTTGATCATTTGTTCTTTGTACAGCTCTTGTCATTTCAGAAATTATGTACACGGGAGAGGACCTTTCTTTATTTTCTTTTCTCGCCTGATGGTCCTCGTCCCTGGGGAAAATTCTTTGTCAGCTGCCGCACTAGATTTTCCATTCTTTGGAGACTTCGAGTTGTGTCAAGCTGTTGTTCCATGAGGATTGCGTTCTGCTGGGTGATGGCTGAGAGTGCCTTCAGAATCTCTATTTGAGATGCACCCAAGCTTGCAGCTCGAGTCTCCAGCGCCTTTACACGCGCTTCTAGTGCAGTGCTTGCTTTCCTGCCAGCGGCCAGTCCCTCAGCCAAATTCCTTGCATATGTGTCTATCAGTGTTTGGGTCATCAGGTATTGGTAAGCATGGCTGTGTCAAATTCATCAAGTCATCTTTCTAAAGTGTCAAGAGTCGCGCGAGAGGCTGATGTGCTTGCCTCCGCGGGTGATGGTGACTGTCCCTCAGACTCAGCCGAACTGATGTCCACTGGCTCGTCTTTTCTTAAGAAATCGGGTGCTGGCTTAGGAGTGACGTCCCTCACGAAAACAAGTTGCCTCGCTGCTTCATACTCCAGCTGCTCTGCTTTCTTTCGCTCCAAGTATTTCCTGAATCGCAGCTGGAGTTGGGTGAGCGGCTTCCAGTACTTCAGCAACTTGGCCAGCACCTTCATCTTCCTTTTCTTCTGTCGCTCACACTGCCGCTTTTGTTCTAGTTGTTGCATTGCGGCGAGCAGCTGAGCTTGTTCTTCCCGAAATTTTCTTTCCTCTTCATCCTCCTCCTCATCGAAGATTGTTTTGTCAGATTTTTTTATGCCGGAGTCAGAGTGTCTACGGGTGTTCTAGTTGTTATTGGCGTTCTAGGGCTATGTGGAGACACCTGCAGAATGAGAAAATTTGTTATGACT